TTGCCAGAGAGCAGTGGATGGGTAGCAAAGCAAATCTGTTTTAGGCCACGTAAACTGTTCACATGTCCATGCACTTAGGCCAGGGGTGTGCAATCATTTTGGGCGGAGGGCCGCTTACTGAGTTTTGGCAAGCCATCAAGGGCCACCAGGGTCAGATAAATATTAATTTTCTAAATTTTTTAGGGGCCCCACAGGCCAGATAGACTGGCCTGGCGGGCTGCATCTGACCCACCCCTGACTTAGGCACACCAGAGACATGTAGCAGGACTGATGCCTGACCAGGTGATAGACTTAGCAGCCAAAGCGTATTTGGCTGTCTAGGCCATTTCTGGTAATATTGCCCATGATTCTTTCTTTGCCATATAGTGAATGAGCAGTGCTCGCAGGTTACCAGTGAGAAAGAAACACTTAATGCAGAAATCATTTAAATGCAGGAATGTCCATGCTAAAACAGACCAATGGTGTTTCTCCTTCCTTACCCCAGGTCTGGCTTTGATCAGGGCCACATGCATTGAGGGAAAGCATAGAAGCATTTATGCACATAATCTGTGATAAAACCTGATATTCTTCCTCCTCCCACCTATGCTGAATCCCAGGGGAAGATAACATTTAAAATTAAATCCTACATAAAAGACAGCAAATGCTGACACAAGCGTGTGTGTGTATGTACATACATGGCTTGACCCAAAGCCCACAACCCCTCAAGTCTTAACTTGAGGGTTTTTGAATCAGACTCATAAAATAGCTGTAGCATTCAGGCCCGGTCCTCGGTAGGAAAAGGACTGGGCCCTTTGTTTTACTGTATATCCATTGACTTCAAATTGAGAGTCTTAGGCCAGAGCTGTGAGTAAATCAACTTCCTTCCACCGACATCACTGGAACTACATCAACTAAATATCTGGCCTTGCAAACACACGTCCCAATGCAAGGCCATGTCCTCCTTAACCACTAGCCTGTTTTTTTTTTGCTAACGTACAATAGTTTTTAAGCATCCTGTGCTCCATGCTGCCAATTTGCACAGAAACAATAACTTCTGTGTCATGAAACCACCAACAAGGGCAGTTTATGATACAACATTAGACTCTTGTACCACACCTGCTGTCTACTGCTTTGGCAAAGCGTGGATTTTCCTCCTGGAATTTCCCATGTTCTAAAATGCAGGATTTCCTCCCTGCCTTGGCACGTATGGATGGGAAAACAATTTACTTAAAATAAACAGTTCCCAGGAGATGCGGGGCCAGAGAAACAGCTTCTCAGATGCTGAACATAGGCATTAAAGGCCTGCTTCAAAGCCCAAAGTTGGCTGTGGATCAGGTCTTAATTTCAAAAGGATTCAAAGTTTTCTTTATCGGCCCACATGCCCTCTAATACATACACACATTTTAGCTTCAAACAACAAAAGCCATGAGTCTCTGAGTAAGGCTGAACTCCCAACTGCTGGAGCTCATATGGACCTGGACCCTGCAAATCCTTCTTGGTCATTACTAATTTATTACTGCAATAGCGGCAGTGATCCCCCTTGGTAGAGGATGATCGCTCCTACGGGTCAAATGCACCAGTGGGAGAAGCCTGCATGTGACTTGTTTTATGTGAGGAGGCCATTGAGCATAAACAGCCACGTGGACCTTAGTGTCCAGTGGCAAAGGGATCCAAGACAACCGAAGTTACTCCTCTACTGCAGCCTTCATCCACCTTCACAGCCATTGAGAAGTATGCCTCCTGCATCTGCCTGCTCCACCACTGAGGTCTTTCTGCTGTGTTGCTCTTCATCTGATACCTCGCCTTTGACTTTACGGCCCTACCAGGAGTACAAGACTCCGGATGGTGTTGTTCTTAGGGTCATTGGTGCATGCAAGCCTCTCTACCCCATCAAGGTATCAGTCCACAGAAAGGAATCTATGACTTAACTGCCTTGTCAAAGTTGGGACAAGCCTGCCTGTGGCAAGAAGAGAAAGGACCTAAATGCAGACAGTGCACAGAGCTGACATCACTTAAATGCAGTCACCACTGAGGGGAGTGTGATAACAATACTACAGAATAATGGTTCAGAAGGGGTAATTTGCCCACATTGCCTGGCCACCAGGGCTATTCCTACCTGCTACCCTTATGAGAAGTGCCGCACAGTCTTTAATGCCATCCATTGGTCCAGACTTCAGATTTAGGACTCATCCAAACGGTACTGCCTAATGCAATATTTGACCACTGATTAAAGACAGAATCTGGGTCTCCTGAGAGTGGGCATTGATTAATGACTGAGAATGGACTACTAAGCAGTCAGAGGTATGGCTGGAAATCTCATAGTAACCACAACCCGCCCAACCTTTGTCATGAGAAGCGATGCAATCACAGCCAGAAGGACAAGGGTAGGCCATATTATCTCGATTCACCTATGACTTTCCCATTGCCTCTCTGCCGACTGTTTCGAAGAGGAGGCACCTCCAGAGAAATGATGCCTGAGCTCTCAAGGATGTTCACCTCCACTCGTAACCTCCCCACAAGCTGTTGGGGCCGGATGCTGACTGTGTACTCGTACTTCCCCAGACGCCTTTGCAAGAGCTCTTCATAATGCAGCAGGAAGACAGCCTGGGTCTTGCGGGGAATGGTGCCAGATGCCCTGAACATCTCAAATCCATTCTCCCTGCAAGGAAAGTTCAAAGGGGCTTCACTGAAGTCAGGTCCTTTATGTCCTCAGCTAGCAACCCCTCATAAATGACCGTGTAAAACGCCATGTGTAAGCAGGGAGCTTCCATAAAAAGAGGAGTTTTAAAAGGACTGAGATTATTAAGATGGAACAAGTGATATGACAAGTTCATTAAAAAGGAACATGAATTACAGAGGAAACAAAGAGGAAGGATGGTACGGTAAGTTAGGTACTTGCTTGGGACTCCTGAAACCCAGGCTGAGTTCACTGCTCTTCCATATCTCTTATGCAACCTTGGTTAAGTCACTTAGGCCCAGGTCTACAAAGGTATTTAGGCTCCTACACAGCTGTGTGGATCTGGCTCTTATTTCCTCTGTGCCTCAGTTCCCTATCCATAAAACAGGGATGATGACACTACCCTATCTCCTAAGGGGTGATGTGTGAGGTGCTTAGGTACATATATGTATAAGTATATATAAGGGGTGAAGTGAGGCACTTATATACTCTGGCAGCAGGGGCCATAAATTGTCCAAACAGAGACTGACATATATCTAGGCTATTATTTAAAAGGAGAAAATAAGAAGCCTTACAACAGGATGAGAGTAAATTATTGGGAATGCTACATAGCGTTAACGTGAGAACAGAGCACTACTCATGTATAACACTTAGCAAGTATGTAAAAAAAAAAGGATCAGGGTCTCACTATCTAAAGTTACCTGAACTCAGATAAATATTATAAGGGTCATCATCAACCCTTAAACTTCAAGGCTTAAGCCAATTAGCAGCCAGGGTCAGGAGGAAAATTTTCACTGCATGCTATATGGAATTGCAGGCGTGTTATTGGCTTGGGTAGTCTTCCTCAGGGGCATCGTCTTCTGGTTATGCGAGATGCTGAAGTGGATGGACAATAGAAATTCCTGCACTGCAGGCTCATATTATGCATCTCTTATAGAGACATCAAGGGCACATTTGACCACCCAGGAAACTAGAAGGCAGTATATTTGTGACATAGCTGAGAAAGCATAATCATGAGTATACATATGAGTGCACATATAAATGAGTGCACATATGAAGGAGACTGAAGATGCTTTTTCCCCCCGTGTGTCCTGGACTGTTCTGTCTATGAACAACGGATCACTCACCAGGCCTATTGAGTTTTTTTCTGGCTGTCAGTGACTAATTTTACACCCATGGTCAAGTTACTTAATCTTTGTGCCCCTGAGTTTCCCAGTCTCTCTCTTGGGAAGTGATAATATGTATCGCCCCCACCAGGATATTGGCAGGCTTAATCATCCAGAGCCCCTTGCAAGGAAGCTAGTATTTAAGAACTAAAGCTAAAGCCTCAAAAAGGTAAAGAGGAAGACATTTAGTTTAGTTGCCCCAAACTAAATGGACGGAGACTTACCCCTTGTCCGTGGGACTAGAACGCTTATTGTCCTTCTCTTTGCCTTCATCTTTGTGTTTTTTTTCTTTCCCTGTGACTTCTCCATGGTACGTCCTGTCCCCAGCAATCCTGGAGAGATCGGAGACATCAGCCTTACAGATCCACAGTCACGGAGACAAATTCAGGCACGCGGCTCATCGTGCCGCAGTGACATTGCTTGGGCATGGAATAAGGCCAACCGGAACAACCCCAATAAAGGCGAACAAGCGACAGAAACATCGACTCAGATGCTGAACCACAATTTTCCTATCTGGCTCCAAGGTTACAATAACTCCCGGATTATTCATAACACTTCTCAACTACCAAACCCCAGCTGCACTAGGTAAGTAGCTCATTCCAAAGGGAATAAAGAAAGGTGAAAATATGCAAAGTAAAGAGCAAAGCTATGTACAAGGGCAACTATGCAGGGGGGTTTATTGGTCCAACATATTGCACCACATAAACCCTGGTTACTGAATGCAGACTTCTGTCTGACCAAATACTTCTTTCTGGGAACGAGACACTGGACAGTGAACACCAACTGGGGAATATTATGGGATATTCTAAAATACAGTAGAGAGAGAAAAGAGCCAGCAGAACAATTGTTTTATGTGGCAGTTTCAGCCCAGTGTCTCCCCCCAGAAAGCCGAATTCTTAACCATTGGACATGCTCCGGGCACAAACGTCCTCCCTCCGACGTCCCTGCTACTAAATTCATGATCAATGCCTGGCTGCCTCTTCAAGGAAGCTGAAGGAGAGGGAAGTCCTGGCTTTCCATCCCAAGCTTCATCAGAATCAGGCATCACCCAACAGATATAACCCAGATTTTATCTGGAGCCATTTTTGAGTCTCCAACAAGGTCTAGCTGTTTTGAGTCTCCATCAAGGTCTAGCTGTTTATACTTTTTAACATTGCGGGGGGCAGTTGTTCATCACCATTTGGGGGCATTTTTGCCCAGGTTTGTTTGTAAGGCACTTTTCTCAAGGCACTGAGCCAAGTCTTGCCATGTCCTAATGCTGAGATATTAAGTTTACCAGACCCTTTATAAATTCCCATGTCATAACTGGTTTTCCTTCTAACTTAACAAGACCCTTTTATGGGCAATATCCACCGCCCACTCCAGTCAATGTGAGATTCTCCATTTACTTCAATTAGTTTTGGATCAGGCTCCTCTTGGTTATAGAATCCAAGTTTTTGCATTATTTGCCTCCACAGAGTTCCCCGTTTGCTCTGCCAACTCCTCCCTCCATATATTTAGTGGTCATAGCTCCAAGGACGTGGTCCTGCTAGCTCTATTACTCAACCAAGAGAGGTTCCTCCTGAAGGACATGAGATGACCCCAGTTTTATAGCACCAGGAACAAGAGCAGTCTGGAAAATTTTCAACCAAACTGCTTTGCTGGTGCCTTGAAAATAATTTCAGAGAGGATCAATGGAGCCCAGGCACGGTTTGGATTGACACCCGTGTACCTGTGACATAGTGCGAAACTCCAGGGCTTCAACTGGTTCCAGCCCCATTCCCTTTTCTGGGTATTTTGCAGTTGGGAGGTGTTAGTCCAAATCAAAAATACATCAAAAAGCACTCAGTTTGAAATATCACAATCACCAAGAAATAGAATTACCTTTCCCTACTGGCAGCTTTACTCAGAGCAACCTTGCCAGCATATTTCTAGGCATTGGCACCAGAAAACCCAAAGCACGTAGAGTTTTCAAGCAGCCTAAAACACTTCAAGGTTCTCTCTCCAGTGTATCCTTAGACTGAACCTCAGAAAATGTCATAGCTCCCCTTGCTTTCCCTACTCACACCTACCACACAGCACATCAGGTGAGATGGTGCACAATTAAAACCCTTCAGGAGTTTTCCAAGAAAACGTTTTGCATTGGAAAACGCCCCAATTTTTAAAATCAAAGCTTAGTGCATGACGACTGGAAGTAGCAATTTTGGGCAGTCCTCGGGTCAACAAATGCCTGTGAATTCCCAGGACTGGATGCAATGGCCCACGAGGCCCCTTCCAATCCTATAGTCCTAGGCAATGCCCTGTTTTGGGATAATCAGTAGCCTCATGGTCAGGATACTTGCATGAGCTGCACAAGACTGAAGTTCAAGTCTCTACTCTGCCTCGTTTAGAGAAGAACGTATCACCTGAAAGAGCAACCTAACTACTGGGCTGTGTGGAGTGATTGCTCTCTATCCTTTTCACAAAAAATAAAAAAAAATCTTTGAAAGGGTCTCATCTTTGTGCAGAATGAGACAATATCTTTGAAGTCACAAACGTGTTTGTTGACTGGGAAAGCCTTTTCCCCTCCAGCTTTCAGCATAACCTACATGGTAAAATTGGAGACAAAGGCAGCAGCGGGGATCTGCATCTCAAACACGCCTTCCTTGGCCTCAGATCCGCTGTTCACCATGGTACAGGAAACAGCGGTGAAGGCGTAGCGAGAAATGATTGTGGATTTCACCGTGAATTCGGCCATCCGGGGCCTAGTCTCCTGTAGAAATTGGACAGGTTGTCTGTTAGAAACATTAACACGAAGAAGCCAAACAACCCCTTCCTTGAGCAGTTCTCTGCCGACCCCAAGGTTTGAATATGACGTGCAAACAAAGAAACCTCATAAAAGCCCACAGGCTGAAGAGCATGAGAACTATTTTGTGTCCCCCATGAACAGGAGTGTCACAAAATGATGCTCCTTGAACGTCATCCAGGCAGGATGGTATTTTCCATCAATGGAGAAAGTTTATACATGGACATAGTCCATGAAGACTGAATCCTGAATTTGCTGAAGCGCATGGTACAAAAAGGGTTTGTAAAGTCTGGACACATATTAGCTTAGGTTCTCAATCTGGGATTATGAGTGGTGTTGCGAGGGATGTGATTACCCTCTCTCTTTATGGCTAAATGGGACAGGAGCCCAAGGAAAAAAAGATCTTCCTTTTACAATGTACAACCTTTATGCAAAAGTGAACGTAGGGTCTCCACAGGATACAGCTTATAGTCATTACAATTAAAGGATCAACTCCTCAGCGGGTGTAGGTCTGGATAGCTATGCTTACTTCAGTACAGTCAGGATGATTTATACCTACTGAGGTTCTGTTCATAAGTCTCCAAAGCTGGATTGACCAGGCCTAGTGGAAAACACGTGCATGCAGCTGAGGCTCAGTGAGCAACATGTCCTTTTTAAAGTGCTCTGGCCATCTTCCAGCAGGGACCAAAGCTAATGATCCATGCTGGAGTCATGGAGACTTGAAGGCAAATTTACATCTCTGAAGAATATGCTTTTGTACACAAGTCCTAGAATGAACCTGGAATTCAAAAAATAATTCAAGGGGGGGTGCAAACCCATGAGCTTTGAAACTAAAGAAGCTGACAACTGCGTAACTAAATCTTTTAATGGCTAATATGTCCTTGGAAGAAGTCTGGTATAGGATAGACTATATGAAATTAGCTACTCTAACACAGCCACAAGTAAAATTTCTCTGGCACATTGGCTTAATGGGTTAAAGACAGATCTTTAAAAAGAGGAAAGCTGCTAAAGAGTTAAATAGGTCACTAATAAGCCAAAATAAATACATAACTCTCAGTAGCTTAGCAAATGTAGGTCCCGTTTCTATCTGTCTTATAATGAACTGTATCTTCTCTGGTAACTGTCCCACTGAAATCAAGAAAATGGTCCTCAGCTAGCACATCTACATGTGCAATTACTTCAAAGCAATAAGCTCCGGTGTAAGTTTATTGCTCCCGGCTGCGGCTTGAACATGTGCCCAGGACTGCAGCATGCTGAGCTGTGTCAGAGCAGCCCCAGCTGGCAGGGAGCCCTGGGAGTCAGCCTGTCAGTCCAGGGCTCCTCCAACCTGGCTCAGCATGCTGCAGAGGGGCTGGCTTGGGGCACAAGGGTGCTTCAGTCTGGGACTAGCTGGCAGGCAGCCCCCACGCTGAAGCCCCCCCGTGCCTGAGGCAACTGGGGCAGCATCTACACATGTGCTGCTGCGGAGTAAAAAACTCTGCAGCAAGATAGTACTTATATTTACAAGTACTACCCTTCTATGGAGTTTATTAGTTTACTCCAGCCTAATAGCCCTGCATGTGTAGACACTAAGCCGCATGTAGATGAAATGAGGGGCGTGCGTGCACGCCACTTTAAAGTGGGCTAAATGCTTTTGCACCGCTTTAATGGTGTCGGTGTTTGCACGCCTCGGTGGTGTATTGTGCAGTAATTCCAGCCGCTGTAGGAAATTCAGCTGCGTAATACGCCTTAAATGACTTGGGACGCAGCAAACTAAAACTCCTTCGAGGAGTTTTAGCTTGCTGCCCCTACAGCTGCGGAGTGAAGCACTGGGCTCCGTGCAGCTCCATGGCCCTGCAGGCAGCCTGGCAGCAGCCTGGGAAAGCAGGCTCTGCCCTAGAAAAGCAGTGAGCTTGATCTTTTCTTTTTTCTCCCCTGGAGCCTGCCTGCCTGCCTGAGCTGCATAGTGCTTCTCTCTGCAGCTGCGGTGCCACCCAGGACTGCCCGAGCTCGGTGCCTGTGGGCAGGTGCCACCTGTGGGGGGAGCTGTCACTGTCACAGAGGGAAGCACCAGCCACCCCGCTCCCTGCAGCCCAGGGACCGCTCTGCCCACTGGCAGCTCGCCCTCCCCTCCCTGCCAGAGAGGCAGGTAAATCAGCGGGGTGTGTGCACGACACGGGGGTTTAATTAGCCCTAAATTGAAATGGTGTTTTTTAAAACCCACCACTTCAATTTAGGGTCCTTGTTTCATCTACGCACGCCCTGAGACATTAACTGCAGCGCCAGTCTACTCCGCAGTAAATATCTCATGTAGCTGTGCTAAGAGTAAGTGACAGTCCCAGATAAGACAGAGGATGCACTCAGATCCTATGTTTTGATCTGACTGAACACCACAAACCTAACTGACATGGCTGTTAAAATCTAGATCTCCTAATTACAGACTTATGGCATGCCACTGGAAATTGTATTTAATACCAGCCCAGGGCAAATTCCAGTTCCCTGTGGGAATTTCTAAGTGTTTTTAAGTAGTTACAGCTAAGTGAACTCCTCCAAAATAAACACGCTCTCATTACCTCTAATTAGAAGGTGGAAAAAGTTCTGATCTGGAGTTTTGGTTCAGGCTTATTTCAAAATGCCACTAATTATCTGAGTTACTCCTGTAAGAGACTTGCTTGTGATTTGCTATAAAATCCTCTGAAAGTAAAGGATAAACAGCTGAAGCATTAAAATTAGTTTTACACACAATGGGCATGTCTACACATGCACTTTAGTGCTCAGCAGACTACTTTACTGTGGATTCAAGTATCACGTGAAAAATGGTGACATTACGCTAAGGCACACAGTAGTCTACTGAA